ACATCAGATACCACAGGAGTGAGCACTGAGTCTCATGAGATTTCGCCCCACTTCCAATGCCAATTGCAAGGAATATGTTCCTGACTGACTGGCTATGAATTACAGATCTCATGACCTCCTCCTTGGGTTTAATTAATCTGCTAGAGCAGTCCACAGAACTCAGGGAAACACTCGCTAAGTTTACCAGTTTATTATAAAGGATATAGATGAAGAGATGCATAGGGAGAGGAACAGGGAAGGGACCCTGAGCTTCCATGACCTCTGCAGGTGCAGCATTTTTCAGGAACTTCCATGAGTTCAGCTACTCTGAAACCAGTCCTTTTGGATTTTTACAGAAGCGTCATTATGTAGGCATGGTTGATTAAATCATTCAATCAACTTAATCTTCAGGTCCCCTGATTGTCTTGGTCTTTCTGGTGACCAGTCCCTATCCCTAAGCTATGTAGGGGCTCCCAACCATCAGTCAATTCATTAGGATACAAAAAGACACCTCTTTGGAGAGTCTAAGGACTTTAGGAGTTGTTTGGCAGGAAACAGAGTTGAAGACCAAATATATATTACACAATATCACAATGGGTGAAAGACATAAAGAGACATTTTACCAACAAGGATATGTAGGTAGCAAATAAACACGGGAAACGATGCTTCCATCACTAACCATCGGGAAAATGCAAATTAAGATCCCAGTGAGATATTATTACTATGTACCTAACAGAACAGTTATAGTAAAACATAATGACAATACCAAATGCTGGCTAGGATGTGGAGAAACTGCATATCTAATACATTGCAAGTGGGAATTTAAAATAATAGAGCCACTCTACAAAATAGGCTGGCAACTTCTTTAAAAGAACTAAGTATACACTTACTATACTACATGATCCAGCAATTGCACTTCCATGCATTTGTCCCAGAAAAATGAAAACTTATGTACACACAAACACCTGTGCACAAATATTTCTAGCGGATTTATTTGTAACAGCAAAACACTGAGAACAACCAATGTAAGACAAACTTGTCTTACAAGTGAATGGTTAAACAAACTGTGTGCATCTACACAATGAAATGCCACTCAGCAATCAAATAATTTTTTTATATATGCAACGACTTGTAAGGTTCTCAAAGGCACTGTGTTAAGAAGCCAAACCCAAATGTTACATGGTGTATGATTCTATTTATATAACATTGTCAAGATTATGGTGATGCAGAAGAGGTGAGCACTTGCCAGAGACTTAGTGTGGGGAGGGTGTGTGTCAGTATGAAGAGGTAGCACTAGGGAGACCTTTATGATTATGGAATTGTCTGTATTTTGACTATAGTGGTGATTACACAAACATACACAGGAGAGGCTCAACATAGGCAAAAGCTGGGAATATCACCAGACTCCACTGGAAATAATGTTCAGCCGGGCACAATGGTTCACGTCTGCAATCCCAGCACTTTGGGAGGCAGAGGTGGGTGGATCACTTGAGGTCAGGAGTTTGAGACCAAACTGGCCAACATAGTGAAACCCCATCTCTACTAAAAATACAAAAATTAACCAGGCATGGTGGTGCACACCTGTAATCCCACCTACTCGGGAGGCTGAGGCAGGAGAATTGCTTGAATCCGGGGATGGAGGTTGCAGTGAGCCAAGATCATGCCATTGCACTCCAGCCTGGGTGACAGAGTGAGGCTCCATCTCAAAAAAAAAAAAAGAAAAGAAAAGAAATGATATTCAAACACTCATTACAATATAGACATTCATTCTTAATTTATCTCCAATTATAATATAATCATATGAAGGTGATGGGGAATAGAAAGTGCTCATTGTGGCATTAAGTCAGCAGTGGCAGAGCGTTATATTCCCATCTGCAATCGTGGGAAGTCAAAAATAATGCCTAACACCGAAAAATGAAGAAGCGGCGATATAAAGCATGTTATATGAGACATGGCAGTAAGATCTAAGATCATCCATTGACAGCTGAAAATAGTTGCTTCTGGGAAGTAGAATATGGTTAGATGTTAGGGAGACTCCAGTTTTCATATGTAGAACTTATTTAACTATTTGACTCTTAAATAATGTGTACATGTAACTTTGACAAACACTCATTTAGATCATTAGATGAATATTATAAGAGTTACACATAAAGGCCTGGTTCAGTGGCTCACACCTGTAATCCCAGCACTTTGGGAGGCCGAGGAGGGTGGATCACTGAAGGTCAGGACTTCGAGAGCAGCCTGGCAAACATGATGGACTCTGTCTCAACTAAAAATACAGAAATTTGCTGGCCATGGTGGCATGCACCTGTAATCCCAGCTACTCGGAGGCTGAGACAGGAGAATCGCTTGATCTCTGGAGGCAGGAGTTGCAGTGAGCTGAGATCATGCAGCTGTACTCCAGCCTGGGTGACAGAGCAAGACTCTGTCTGAAAAAAAAAAAAAAAAAGAGCTATACATAAAAGGAATATCCATGCTATTAGTGCTAGTAAAAGAATTTCATAAGCTTTCCAGCTGTAAGATTGATGTTCAAAATTCAATTGCAATCCTATTCAGTAGTCAAAAACCACTGAAAAAAATAATAAATTTTTAAGATTCCATAAACTAGAAAACATTAAGGGCAGCTCTAACTGACGATGCATACAACCATTATGGAGAAAAAAAAAACTGCAAAACTATAAGCTGAACTTCATAAAATAAAACCTAAATAAATAGAGATATACCACACCCATAAATGGAAGACTCAACACTGAAAAAAATGTAAATTTCTCCAAAATAATATATGAATTCCATGGAATCAAATAATAAATCTAAAAGTATTTTTCATGAAACTTGACAGAGTCTAACATTCATTTGGGTCAAGAACAGTTACAACAATTTTGGATAAGAAACGGTGAGACGATTTGCCCAAAAGTATCAAAACATACGGCAGAGCTATGCCAAGACAGGTACAAGCATACCTCAGTGGTACAGGGGAATGTGGTGGCTAGTTTGATCATCCGTTGAGAGCACTAAAGCTTTCTCCATCTCAGCAATAAGACAGTGTTGCTTTCTTACCATTCATGTGCTCTCTGGAGTCGTATTTTTAATTTCCTTCAAAAACTTTTCCTTTGCATTCACAACTGGCTGTTTGGTGCAAGAGGGCTAGTTTTCAGCCTGTCTCAGCTTTGGGCAAATCTTTTTTACGAAGCTTCATGTTCTAGATGTGATTTAAAGTGGGAGATTTGCAACTTTCGCTTTCACTTGAGCACTAAGAGGTCATTGCAGGGTTATTAACTCGCCTAATTTCAGGCCAATGTGTGTTTCAGGGAAAACAGGGAGGCCTGAGGAGGGGCAGCAATACTGGAAACGGCCAGTAGGTGGAGCAGTCAGAACACGCAAGACATTTTTCCAAGTGTGCTGTTTCATATGGGCATGGTTCATGGATCCCCAAAGCCAATATAATATCATCAGACATCACTAGTCACGGATCATCATAACAGATATAGAATTTGAAATATTGCAAGAATTACCAAAATGTGACAGAGACACGAAGCGGGCATATGCTATTGGGAACAGGGCACCAATAGACTCGCTTCATGCAGGGTTGCCACAAAACGTCAATTTGTGGAAAACGCAGTGTCTGTGAGGTGCAGCAAAGTGAAGCACAGTTTAATTTGCTTGTATTGACAGACAGCGAGACAAGCAGATCAGCGGAACAAAGAGCTCATCAAAGCAACCACAGATTTATAGACACTCGCTTTACGGCAAAGGTGGCGTGCATATCAGGGAGTGCTGGATAATTGATCCTTCTAGAAAAAAGATAAGATTCCCACCACCTATTAAAAAACCCCATAAGATTCTTACCATCTATAATGCATACACACACGTGCCGACACACACCACCAGGAAAGTATAGTGAGATGTGGTGGTGAGCACCTGTAATCCCAGCTCCTTGGGAGGCTGAGGGAGGAGAATTGCTAGAACCCAGGAGGTGGAGGTTGCAGTGAGCCAAGATCACGCCTGTGCACTCCAGCCTGGGCGATGGAGTGAGACTCCGTCTTGGAAGAGCTTTTTCCAAGTTTTCTTCTTTTTATAGTTCCAAATCTTACATTTAAGTCTTAAAAAGATAAATTTAATAAAAATGCACGAAGTTTATAAAGCTGTTTGTAAATGACATAAAAAAATATAAAAGTATACAGTGATCCTGAAAAAGAAGTGCCAACATTGATAGCACTGTATGTACGGCATAGGAATACTCTGGCAGTGTGTATCCAATTCGCTCTCCCAACCTTGGTGCCGTTGTTCCATGTATTGTATGATATTGATACATTATTATCACAACACCCACATTGCATTATTATTTTTAGCTTTAAATATTCACTTACCATTTACAGAGTTTCGCTTAAATGTCTTTTAAATTTATGCATCTATTTACTTTTTCTGTTCTTCATTCTTTTGTATGGATCCAGATTTACATCTGGTGTCATTTTCTTAGTGCCTGTAGGGTGGCTGCTAATATTTCTTATAATTCAAGTCTGCTGGCGATTATTTCTTTTGATTTTGTTTGATTTTAAAATATGTTAATATTAGAATAGAAGGAAGAAAAACTCCTTACCTCTTTAACTTATTAAAAGGCTCACGCTTATAATCCCAGCACTTTGGGAGGCTGAGGCGGGTGGATCACGATGTCAAGAGATCGAGACCATCCTGGTCAACAAGGTGAGACCCTGTCTCTACTAAAAATACAAAAATTAGCTGGGCATGGTGGTGTGTGCCTGTAGTCCCAGCTACTCGGGAGGCTGAGGCAGGAGAATTGCTTGAACCCAGAAGGCGGAGGTTGTGGTGAGCCGAGATCGTGCCATTGCACTCCAGTCTGGGTAACAAGAGCAAAACTCCGCCTCAAGAAAAAAAAAGGGTAACTATTTTAAAAATGCAATAAACCTTCAAAAAATTATATATATAATTAATATATATAGTGAGATTTATATATATATATATATATATAGTGAGATGAAAGGCATAAATGGAAAGAGTAAAACTTGAACAACAATTAGAAACTTGTTTTTATACAATGAAAGATCCCACATAATACCAGTACTGCAGCTTTGTGCACCAAGCTAGAGGAACAAGATGAAGTCTCCCACACGTGCCCAAGGAAACAAATGTAAGAATGTTTGTGCAAAGTTGTACCAGCAAAACACTGAATGAAGCTTCAACATTATAAGAAGAATTGATAAATTATAGCACAGTCTTACAATAGAAGACCACAGAACAGTGGAAAATTAATAAAATGTGACTTCAGATAGCAACAGGAATAAACCTGGCAAACTGTGTTAAGCATAAAAAATAAAGTTCTAGAATGCTGTGTACAGTATCATGGCATTTATACAATGTTAAAAATATGAAGACTGATCCTATACATTGCTTAAGGATTTACACATGTTAAAAAGGTATAAAATCATGCTTGAGAATGATAAACATCAAATTCAGAACAGTGTCTTTTTTTTTTTAAAGAAAAGAACTGAAGAACATGATGGCAAAATGTTAATATTTTATGAAGTAGATCCATGCATATTGTTTGTATTTTTTTGTACATCTCAGAAGAGAAAAATGCTTATGCAACTTACCAGTAATTTCAAAATACGTGTGTGTTCAAATGAAATCATACTTTCAAAAGTAAAAACTGCTCTGAAAATTAAGGATTGTTCATGATGGGGCAGAATAGAAACTTCTTTTCTTGATCAGTTTGATTCTCTTGGGTAGAAGGAGGGCCAATCTGAAGCTCAGTACATCAGAATCAAGATATCCCTGGAGTCCTCATGAATAAAATCCGTCCCTGACTCAGCTCCAAAGGTCTGAGGGAAGGAACACCGGGAGGGTGTGCAGAAAGGAGCGTGTCCATGATGGGGGTGCCAGGGACGAACTGAAGGGTCTTTAGTCACCTGTAAGTCCCTGCAGCTTCTCCCCACATGAAGCCCTTGGAGAGGGCTGGAGGTTAATGTTTCTGCATGCAGGAGCTGTAGAGAAAAATAATCTTTCATTCATGTTTGTTTATTCACGTATTAATTTCACAAATATTTATTGAGCACCTACTATATGGCAGATATTCTTCTTGGTCTGGATTCATGGCACAGATCAGAAATAAAGCCCCTACTCATTACACCCCAACACCACTTTTTGGGTTCTAAACTCTCTCCCATAACCACATTCATCTTTGCCACTAGTCAGAACCTCCAAGTCCCGTGAATACGTTCTATTCATTGATTTTAGCAATACTTTCCTTATGCATCTCCAAAATATATCATATGAAAACAGAAACATATAACAGTGTATTAGGGGACTCCGGAGTTTGGGTCTCAGCAGTCATACACTCCACACCTTGGATTCCCTGCCTCCATCTTCGGGGTCCCAGAAAATGGAATTTGAAACCCTTCCACCTCCAGGGCGCTACACAATACACAGAATCAAAAGACTCTGGGAATTCCAAAAAACATTTGGAGAAAATAAAGGGTGTTCCCAACCTTCCCTTTAGGCTTGAGGGCACCCTTGAGGGCACCTGTGACTTTGCGGACTTGCCCTACAGGCCTCTTGCCAACCTGTCACCCAGTCCCAAAGACTAAGGCCCATCCTATGTTCACCTGTCACAGGTTCCACCTCCTGCAGATGTAGGTCACTGTGAAACTCATCACCAGCAGCACCTTGAGGCCCAGAGGGAAAAACCACAAAGATAAGGGCAGGCATCTCTGGACCTAAATGCCAAGGGGTAGAAGGAGCCATCACATGGGGGCTCTGTGAGTTTAAATGCCCTCTCTGAGGTCATGTAGCCAAGAAGCTCCAGAGGCTGCAGGTTGCATTCGATTCTGATTCCAAACCCATGTCTTTTCTCTACATTTAGTTCTGTCTTGGAAATAAGAGATGACCTTGATCTGAAAGCCTCACCTTGAATTTGGCTCAACCAATGCTGATTTGAATATCTGACACCTACTAGCCACTGTGCAAAGCTTTAGAGGTACAAACCCAAGTATCATATAATCACCTCCATGTCCCAAAGGCCTGTGGTCATTTAACATAACTTTGCTGCAATCTTAAGAGTTTGGTATCATTAGCACCATTTTCTTGACGAGTAAACTGAGGTTATGGGAAGATAATTAACTCAGCAGCCTAAGTTTACAAAGCCATAACTACTGGAAACTAAATTTTACAATAATCTTACCTGAATTCAAATAGTAGTATCAATAGTTGACATTTATTATAGACCATATGTAAAGTTTACATGTGTTAATTCATTTAATCTTCATAAAGACTATGAATTAGGAAATTTTATTAGACACTATCCACAGATGAGCAGACTGAAGCATGCAGTGTCTGTGCAAGAATCAAGAAAAGCCTATTCTACCGCTGGAGCAGACATCATGCAAGCAAGTTTTATGTACAGGCAAGCTCGCCTCCAGGTAACTGAAACAAATATTTTAAACAAGAGAGCATTGCTGACAGCCATCTCAGAAGCACCAGTAGTAAGTAAGTGCACTAAGCTGAACTCTCTCTTGGGAATTTTGAAGGAGATTGAGCCAGGCGATCACTCTTTCCACAGAAATTAAAGAACGTTTAGCATGGACAGATTTAAAGGAATCCACTGGCCAGAAACCATTCTGGTTATTTAAGGAATCACAGACTCTCAAGTGGGATAAGATCTCATTGATTATCAAGCTCCCCCTCCTTCCAGTGCCTTCTGAAATCCACTCAGGATACAGAAGTGACTCCAGGAACTCACAGAAGAAGAGGTGAACTTACCTGTGCTCCCAATGAGCTTACATGTGGTGTGAGCTGCTGTGGACAGTATGAGGTTGGCCCGTTTGGGAAGCTGTCCCTCATGTTCCACCATGCAGGTGAGGACCCGCTCAAGCCCCTGCACTGATGCATTCACCAGCAGCACATTTTCCAGGGTATAGGACCCATCATCATTCTTCTTGGATGTGGGTTGCTCAATGCCTTTGAGTGTACGGCAGTCCTCTAGCCAGGTGAGGTGCACATTTTGTGGATAGAATCTCTGCACGAAGCAAGTAACAGCCACCAAGCTGGAGGAGGTGGAAGACTGGGACACTGTCACTGCAGGGGGAACTGATAAAGCCCAGAGAAAGCAAACAATTATTGTGGGAAGCCATCTGTAGGTGCCTGGGATCTCCTTCATGATGGAGTCATCTGCCTAGTGCATAACCAGAGCCTGCCACAGAGGAATACTAAGGTATTGGTTAACAAATGCACACATAAATAAATGCATGATTGAATGACAGTGCAAATTCATGAGTGAATGCATGCTTGGATGGATGGATGGATGGATGGATGGATGGATGGATGGATGGATGCATGGATGGATGAATGGATGCATGGATGGATGCATGGATGGATGCATGGATGGATGGATGGATGGATGGATGGATGGATGGATGGATGGATGGATGGATGCATGGATGGATGAATGGATGGATGGATGGATGGATGGATGGATGGATGGATGGATGGATGGGGTTGATGAAAGCTATCTAATCTTTCTTTTCTTTTTCACTTTGGCCATTAAAGATGAAAAGATGAGGTATGAATGCCAGTGAAGAAGCTACAAATCATTTAACTCACTCTATGACTAGATAATTTAAAGATCTGAAGATTCATAAACTCTAAGTCTTAGAATCCAAGATATTAAGATTTTCCATAGGAAGGAACTTCAGATTAGAGTGGTCAAGTAACTTGCCCAAGGTCACAAGTAGCAAAGCTGGGATTACACCAGAGACAGTAGGTTTCACCTTTATGCTATTCTAACACTCAAACTATAAGGCTATAAGCATTTATGATTCTAGGCTTCCAAAATTATGATCTAATGACTTCTAGAATATTTTCCAGCCAGATATTCAGCTATGCAATAGAATGTATTCACAATAAGGAAAATTGGACAAATTTGAAATCCTATAAAACACTAAATTATTTAGTAGACTTCCTATGAACACACAACATGGTGCAGCTCTAACACTAAACTGAGGACTGGGAGATCTGGATTCTGGTCCTTGCTCTGACACCACAGTCAACTGCAAGATCTGATGCAAGCCACTTTCCCTCTGTTTCTAAGACTCTAAAACTATGAAAGTCTCTGAGGTCAGATCAGCTCTCATGGGTCTAGTTAAGTGAGATTTCAGCTCTTGGTCTAGGGTAGAGGAAGCAACTCTTTCAGTAGTGCATTGTGAAGGAGTTACAAGAATCCAACTCCCAAATATTCTTTTCTCACCCTCAACCTGCCCAGACTTGTAAAATTCTATCAATGATGTTGCTAATGGCAGCTGAGGCTGACACCCTCCATGAGCTTATTGCTTGCACTTAGTCTTTCTTCTTCAGCACACAGGGAGAGCACAGGGATCTCACCACACAAAGAGCAAGGCCTGAGAATGGAGGACTCCAGGTATTGAAGGCCTGGCAACTGGGGTGGTGCCCATGGAGAACAGGGCAGGGTAAGCTGCCCTTAAGCAATTGTCATGGGTTCTAGGTGGCAAGGACGAAAAAATAACAAATAAAAAGGGTAAGAGGCTGAGATGGCCCATTTCAACCACCAGTGAGTTTTCCTAGCCATGCGGTGTTGGGGCCAGTGTTGGGAGGACAAAGGCCTGAGCACAGCTGACAACAACGGCTCCCATCCACCGAATGTCAACGTTTGAGGCAGTGTGCACGCTTTTTCTCACTTAATTCTCACAAAACCAAATAAGGTAAATGCTGAAGCTTCTTGGTATCAAAAAAAAAAAAGTACTACTTAGAAGGAGCCTATACAAAATCAGCCCTCAATTTCATAGAGATTGTAAAAAAGGAATTGGTTGGAACTTCATCTTGAAAAGCATTTATATTTAAAAAAATAATTTTACTTAATTTGTATTTGTATATAAATATAGAATATATTGCAGAGAAGCACCAACTCTTAGAAGCATAAGTGTTGGGAGTGGACGGAAGCTGGCATCATTTTTTCCTGGGAATTTATACTATAGTACCAACAAATTCTTCATTTCAAATCTCACATTTATAGCACAATCATTAAAACATAATTTTGAAAAATTATTTGAAATTATTTGAGTGTTCTATCAATTTTCATAGGGGTCTCTTTTAATCAGTGTGCTCTCTTTTGAAGCGCCCACAGTATTATTATCATCATGAATTTTTTCTTATTATTGTGATTCCATTTTTAACACTCAAAGGCTTTGCCTGTGATCCCTGCAGCTCCCCAATATCATCAGCCTCAACTTCCCGTAATACAACTTTTTGCAAGATCTCAGATTGTACTTTGCAATGGATATGGATTCTATTTGCACAAGATGGTGTGAGGTTGGCCACACTTCAACCAAGGCAAGACCAACCTCCTTTAGTAGAGGGTCTCTGGGCTCCACGCCTCCTCGCCCAGCTGCCTGACCTCAAGGCGGTGGTGTGAGGCAGTACCACTCACACCGAGTCCCACCTTGGGCTTCCAAAACCCTTTCCTCTTCTCTGCCTCAGATTTCTCTATAAACATGGAATGCCACCTGCCCACTGCAGGCACATCCCCATTTCTCCTCCTTCATGAGACAATTCTCAGACATAGTCTACCCAGTTCTTCAGAGAGTCTCCAGTGACACTCGGTGCCAGTTGTCCACAGGGGCACCCAGCTCCGTAACTCAGTCTCTCTTGGTTGCCCTCCTGCAGGGCTAGTGTCTTTCTCCCTCCTCTTCATCCCAGCCTCTCAGCATCACCCCAAACCACCTGCCTCTAAGTGCTGGGTTCAGGCTCTGCTTTCAGGGAAACCCAAATAAAGACACCCACAAAGATGTTTCCATGAGAGGAAGCACAGCCCTGAGATGCACGCAGTGCTGAGTAGGGAGGGGCTTGGAGTGGGAGCCAATTTTACACGTAATCAATCTGTTTTTGAAAAATTGTATTTCCTATGACTTTTGCTTCTCAACACAATGGTCCTACCTCCAGAGAATGACAATAAATACTCAGAGAAGGAAGATTCCCTGCACTATCATTTCTCTATTTTACAGACAAAGATACTGAGGACAGGAGAACATAAGCAACTTGCAGGAGACCCCACAGCTGGTAGATAGAGCAGAGCTGGAAGCTGGAATTCACACCGGAGTTTCCCGCTCGCCGCTTTACAGCCTTCACTTCTTGGAGCCTCAGCTTCCTACTGTAAGCCACAAACAGGAAGAACAATATGGGGCAGTTCTGCACATCCAAGTCCATGTACGTGAGCGTGCTGTCCTGTCCGTGTGCTGTAAATGTTCGAAACATTACTACCAATAGCTTCCTCCATGCAACATGATGTGATTACTTCCGTGATAATAGCATACTTCTCCCCCTATTTTGTGGATGAGAAAATGAAGGGAGACATATTCTGTAGATTCTAAAGTCCAAAATACATTCAAGGAACTAATGTTACTGCTGTGCAACCTCGGACCACTCACTTGCCTTCTCTGGCTTTTACCGTTGTCAAAACTATGGGATGATCAGTAAGATTCCTTCTTGGCATGACGTGATTTCTTCTAGGCATGACATCATGGAACTCACAGATCTGCCAAGCACTGGTTCAACCCATCTAAAGACATCATAGGCCCTAGAATTTAGTTCCCCAAGCCCTTCAATTCTTCTCAATATATAATAATAATAATAATAAAATTGAATTCCCAGAAGATATCCTGTCTCCAAAGATATATACCCGTGTAGGTATCTTTGTAATAGAATGATTTCTATTTCTTTGGGTATACACCCAGTAATGGGATTGCTGGATCAAATGGTATTTCTGGTTCTAGATCCCTGAGGAAACACCACACTGTCTTCCACATGGTTGAACTAATTAACACTCCCACCAACAGTGTAAAAGCGTTCCTATTTCTGCACAGGATCACTAGTATCGGTCATCAATCTGGAAGATGTCCTGATTCCAGGAAGGTATCTGTCACCAGTCTACAGATGAAAGGACTGAGTTCTGAGAAGCGCTGAGAACAATAATAATAATAATTAACAACAACAGTGGCCACTTCTGGGTGGTTAGTATGAGCAAGGGACGTGTTAAGTAAGCACCTGACAGGTGTTATTTCACTACATTCTTGCCTCAATGAAATGAGGGATGTGCTTGCTTATCATTGGGGGTTCTTCCTCATTTTTCATTGAGGAGACTGAGGCTCAGTGAAGTCCCCACCCCAACTCTGCACTACCTCAGCTTAGCAGAGAGAAAGATCTTACCCCGGAGGTACTGGTCCAGATCAATGGTTTTCTGGAAAATTAGCATCAACTTGTGCTCGACATAGCAAATGACGTGGGAGAGCACATCATCATCTGTCAGCGGGACGAGCACACTGCTGGTCACATTGTAGGTGTGTCCACTGCGGCGGACGCTGGTCTGGGGCTTTGGGAGCTCATGTTTGTTTTTAAGCCAGGTCACAGTAACCTGGTTTGTCAAGAAGCCAGAGGATGTGTAGGTCAATCGGATCCTTGTGCCAGGTTCAGATCGCTGAAGGGGGCCTTGCAACTTGTGAGGCTGAGGCTGGGCACTCCTGCCTGCAATGATAGACCCCTCCCATGAGAGGGCACAGAGGTGCCTGAGTCCCAGCATAAACAAATCCACAGCATCTGCCAAGAAGCCCATTGCTTCCTCTTTTATAAGATTGAGAGGTTATGTTCTGCTAGGAACCAGTTTCTGAATCTGATATCAGAGGACAATGAACCTGTAGCAATGGGCAACAGCAGTTTCAACTCCTATGGACACTGCATAGTGAACACCCACATGGCACTCACCCTGCCTACAGGCTCTTCCCTAATCAGAGTTCTCACAGCAGCCCTCAGAAGTGGGAGCTGTTACTATCCCCATTTCACAGATGAGGAAACTGAGGCCCAGACAGGATAAATAATTTGTCTAAGATCCACTAGTCAGTGGCAGAACTAGGGATCTTATAGGCAGTCAGGCTCCATGGTCTGTGCCCCTGACTGTCACCCAGCGCTACCTTCAGTGTTTGAAAATGGAAGAGAACCTCTCTTCTCAGAGGCCGGGCCATGGAGAAGAGGTTAGAATCATAGAGAAGAAATTTGGAGCATAGACTTTGGGATCTCACTCAACCCAAGTTTACATTTCCAACTCTCCACTGGAGCCCAAGAAACTTAACTCTCTAAGCCTCAGTTTTCTCATCTGTAAAATGGGAATGATTTTTTAATAGAAAATGGTTTAAATTTTATAATAATTGTTTATCCCATTTTTATATCTGGAGTATAATTAAATTCAGACTTCCCTCGTTTATTTAGCCATTAGGTTTGATGAAGTACATTTTTCTTTTCTTTTTTAAATTTGATTTTACTTTAAGTTCTGGGATACATGCGCAGAATGTGCAGGTTTGTTACATAGGTAAACGTGTGCCATGGTGGTTTGCTGTCAAACCGTCACCTAGGTAGTAAGCCCTGCATGCATTCCTATCGGTCCTTATGCTCTCGTTCCCCTCACATGCCATAACAGGCCTTGGTGTGTGTTGTTCTCCTCCCTGTGTCCGTGTGTACTTATTGTGTGGCTCCAACTTATGAGTGAGAACGGGTTTGATTTTCTCTTCCTGCATTAGCCACTGAGGATAATGGCTTCCAGCTTTATCCATGTCCCTGCAAAGGACACAATCTCATTCCTTTTTACAGCTGCATAGCATTCCATGGTGTATATGTGCCACATTTTATTTATCCAGCATATTCATGATGGGCATTTGTGTTGATTCCATGTCAAGGAATTAATTTTACTGCTTTGCTATTGAGAGTAGTGCTGCAATGAACATACCCATGTATGTATCTTTGTAATAGAATGATTTATATTCCTTTGGGTATGTACCCAGTAATGGGATTGCTGGGTCAAATGATACTTTTGGTTTTAGGTCCTTGAGGAACTGCCACACTGTTTTCCACAACGATTGAATGAATTTACATTCCCATCAACAATGTAAAAGCGTTCCTATTTCTCCACAGCCTTGCCAGCCTCTTTAATTTTTGACTTTTTAATACTAGCCATTCTGACTGGCATGAGGTGGTACCTCACTGTGGTTTTGATTTGCATTTCTTTCAGAGTTAATCAATAAATTAAGGGATGTAACTGGTGTAGATATGTGGCACACAGTAATCACCATATAAATGGTAACTGTCAGCATCACATGCTCACAATGACCTTCCAAGGAATTATTCTTAATCATATTTTTAATATTAACAGATAAAAAGAAAAGCCTCAGAGAGGGTTACTGACTCATCCAAGGGCCTCACAGTGAACAGAACTAATATTGTGACCCAGGAGCTCTGACTCCAAGTCAAGGCTTTTTTCTGTCGCATCACAGCTGCCTCTCCTTCTGCACAGTTGGCTCTATATTAATCAATGACCTTCAATATTGCCCTACTTGCAGCTCAGCTCTGAACTAGGCACTATGGACACTGCATGTAGTCATTGCAGAGAACTTGCACTGTCCAGATGCCAGGCAGGAGTCAAGGAAAGGAATCCTAAGCAGGGCTCTTTGAGGTGAGTGTAACAATTGTCATTGCACCGATGGGGAACTTGACCCAGAAAAAGAGTTGCAGCTGGGCACAGTGGCTCACGTCTGTAATCCCAGCACTTTGGGAAGCTGAGGCAGGTGGATCACCTGAAGTCAGGAGTTCGAGACCAGACAGACCAACATGGTGAAAACCTGTCTCTACTAAAAATACAAAATTAGCCAGGAGTGGTAGTACATGCCCGTAATCCCAGCTACTTGGGAGGCTGAGACAGGAGAATCACTTGAACCTGGGAGGCAGAGATTGCAGTGAGCTGAAAGCACACCACTGCACTCCAGCCTGGGCAACAAGAGCAAAACTCCATCTCAAAAAAAAGAAAAGGAGTTGTTTTGTCTTAGGTCATGTGGCTGGGGACACTGATCTGTTTGACTCCAAAGTTTGGCCACCTTGAAACACAAGAGCCAGTCCCTGCTTCAAGGATGTGAGTGTCTAATTGTGAAAGACCTGTGTAAATGGAATCAAACCCCAGGCTAGGGGATTCTCAGAATGCCCTTGTGGTTTAAGTCCCAGTTGTGAGAACTTAATGGTATGGCCAGATAAGACTACACAATCCAGGAAGAAATAAATATCAAGAATATAGCATTTAAAATTGAGATTTTAGCAGAGACTTGAGATAACACTGAGCTTTGCATTCTCAGGCAGGATAGGAAAGAAAAATGCAGAAAAACACATTGAATTTTTGAACAGGCGTGCCTGCATTTTAACCCCAGCTCTGCTGTTTGGGACCTCTGAGAGCTGGCTCCCTGTGCTAGCTCTGGGCTCTGTTGTAGGAACAGATAACATATCTGAGGATGCCTAGGGTGCAGTATATGCTCAGTGGGTGTCAGCCAGTAGGAATGGAGACACAGCATGGGGAGAGCAGAAGAGCTGGAGTTGCTGATGAAGGCTTTTACGGGCCAGGTTAGGGAAGGATAGCTGCACCTCTTTGTTAACACCAAATAGAAAGGGACCTAAATGCCAGAAAAGGAAGGGGCTGCCCTTCCCCCTGCAGATCATGGGGCCCCACAAAGCTACATAGGGGAGCTGTATAATGGAAGGGGTGCTCCCAGGGAGTTAATCTTGCAGCAGTGGGACAGATATGCGGTATGCAGGCGAAAGAGGACAGTAAGAGAAGAAAACCTCAGCGTGAGTCAATAAAGAAATATTGTAACTTGCTTCTGATCCGAAAGGACCAGTTTGGAGTTTTTCAGCCAGACCTGTACATCCTGCTGGGTGAGTGTTTTTCTTATTTCTGCTGGACAACAGAAATACAAAAAAAAAAAAAAATGGGGAAATTGAAAGCTGAGTGGGATCATTCCCCTTGAGAATTCTTACAGCAGCCAGACAGAGGCCAGTTGTGTCAGGGAGAGAGAGAATGGGGGCTGGAGCACCCTGGTGTGAATGCAGACGGGCTGTTGTTGCGGGTCCAGCACCCGTGCACCCTTGCACCCTTGCACCCTTGCACCCTTGCTCTGGCAGGGGCCTGTGTGTAACCCTCCTGCACGGAGGCATACACCCTCACTGCCGGCAGGGGACTGTCCTTTCCCGCTTCATGTGGATCTGGAGAGCTGTGAGTCTACATGCTGGTTTACCCCCAGCTTGCCAGGCCCGGTCAATCCTAGTAACCCCCACCCACCCTCTCAGACCCTGTCCGCCCCCACCACCCAGCCGGCCCCCTCTGGGCCAGTAACTCATTCTCCCAAGCTGATCTGAGCTGGAGCAAAGGAACTTTGGGGTCTGAACGCCGACAGACAGCTCCCTCTTGTGGAGAAAATCGTTTGAGGACACACACACACACACAGAGAGAGAGAGAGAGAGAGAGAGAGAGAGAGAGAGAGAGAGAGAGAGAGAGAGAGATTGATTCTAGAAAGCAAGACCAGCCAAAGAAACTCTCAGCAGAGCCAACAGACAACCCACAAAATGAGAGAAAATATCTGCAAACTATGCATGCGACAAAGGGCTAAGATCCAGAATCTGTACAGAACTTGGATAAATTAACAAGCAAAAAAACAAACAACACCATGATGAGTACCCTCCCACACCAGCCATTATTAAAAAGTCAAAAAATAACAGAGGCTGCACGCCAAACTCCCCCAACACACAATTAACCCATATGAAAATCTGCACATGGACCCCTGAACCTAAATCAAGCCAAAAAAAGATAATATAAAAACACTCAAAAAAAGGGAGAAAGTGAAGAGGACAAGGAAAAAGAGGAGGGAAGGAGAAGGAAAGCAAGGAGGAAAAGGAAGGGCAGAGGAGGAGAAGGATCTGTCTTGACTCCATGTAAGAGCCTGCATTGACCCTAGGGAAGGGTCTGTCTGACCCCGTGTAAGGGCCTGTCCAGACCTTATGTAAGGCCTTGCATGGACCCTTTTCCAGCTGAGTCCAGAATTCTGGCCTCTCTTTAAAACTGCCATCCAGAAACTTCCAACTGCACCAGTCTTGATTAATAGCCTTTCTAGAAGGGACTTTGGTGCTCAACAGTCCTTAATCTTTGCCATTTCTTGCAGTCAAGTGTTAAGGTGGAGAACTTTCAACATCAAAATGCATGGAATCAGGGAAGGGGAAACCCACCCCTTCTTTTTGGGGAGGGTGTGGAGGAAGGAGTGAGGAGTGGAGTTTGGGGATGAATGCTTGAGAGTTCTGTCACCAGCAAAGGTATCCTTTCTTCCTTCTCCTTCATCCAATGCCACCCTGAGTCTCTGACCCTCCCCAGCCATGCTGCCCACAAGGGATGCCCAGAGGGGCTGGGCCAGAGGCTGTACCCACCTTTCCCCTGCCTGTGCTCCTGGGCTTGCAGGGTGATGTTGGTCTTGAGCGGAGGCTGCTCATCGTGGACCACCCAGCAAGCAAACTCCTGCTCATCCAGCGTGACCTCTGCCTGCCACGTGTGCTCCAGAGAGTATGTCCCATCTGGATTTCTGGTGGCCTGAGGGGACTCCAGGGTCTGGATCATGCGCCTGTTCTGCATCCAGGTGAGTTGCAGGCGGCGGGGATAGAAGTGATGGACGTGGCAGGTGAGATTCACTCTGTCTTGTGCACGTACACTGGTCCCAGAGTGTTCGGTGGTGATCTTCAGGGTGGGGACAACTAGACAGTGGAATAGGAAGAGGGGTCTGCTGAGACCGGCCCCTTCCTTCTCCCAGGGACCAGCCTCAAGGTCTCCTGCCTTTTTTTAAAGAAATAATTTTTTCTTGTATATGTGATCTAAAGCAAAAACGGCTAAATATTAATATTCATTAAATATGGGTAAGGGTCCATCGGTGTCTGCTATATTCTGTATTTTTGAAATATTTCATATCAGAAAATACAATTTTGAGAATTAGTAGAAGGTGACGCCCATGAAGACAGGGACTTTATTTCGCTCGTTGCTGTATCCCCAGCACTGAGCACTGTGGCCGGCACACAGTGGATGTTCATTATCATTAAATGAGTAATAAATGTTTTAAATTTTAAAAAACCATAACAATGACATTAATAGAACGAAGATGTTTAGAAAGGGAGTCTGGGACCAGATAATAACAAGATCACACGTTCGTAAGGAAGTTACTGCATGCCAGGCACTGCTATGCATGTTTTACAAGGAGTAACTCATTTAATCTTCACAGGTCACTATAAAGAAGGTCTTCATTTTATTCCCATTATATAAAGAAACTGGCACCAAATAGTCAAGTAACTTGCAAGATCCCACAAGTTATAAAGTGGCACAGCTAGGATTAAACCCAGACAGTCAGCGAGTCCCTGGAATCGGCACTTATAACCACTATACACATGATCAGAAATCAATGAGGAATTATATTTCCCCATTCATGAAATGCGGCTTTGGGCAAAAACCCTGAAAGCTGATGTTCCCAAGGCGAATGTCCACCCCACCCGACTGCCCATTCACCTCGGAGTACTTGGGAGAGCTTCATGGTCCTTTGCAAGGGCTCTGCCAGGGCCCTGTGGGTGACTTTGCAGGTGATCTCCGATGAGACATCCTGTCGGGCCAGTGTCACCCATGCCTTGCTGGTGATGAAGTCATTGCCTTCATTGTCAGGCACCAGGCGCTGGGCTGAGGCTGGATGTTCATCACTGTCCTTCAACCAGGTAACATTGAAGTCCCGGGAGAAGTGCTGGGAGTTGAAGGGGCCAGCAGTACAGTTGAAAGGCACCGAATCTCCAGGGGTTGTCCTCTGAGACGGACCAGTCAGAGAGATGAAGGGCTGTCCAGCTAAGGAAAGAGAGTGACTGTGACTGCACACTGAGGGTGGGACACATGCAGCACCAGAGGTGTGTCAGACCCTGGGGACCTACTATGTGCCATATCTGGGTCTGTCCTCAGGCAGCATATAGGCATGTGATCACAAGAAAACAAGCAAATGTAAATGTGACTACCACTGGGTCCAAGGCCCTCAAGGAAACCTGAAGAGTGTACAGATGAAGAATATGGAGAGGACTTATTCTAGAAGGGCAGCTGGGGAAGAATTCCTTGAAGGGGTGATCACTGAGCTGAAACAGGAATGAATAGGAGCTGGCCGTGGGAAGGGACACAGGAAGCACATCCCAGGCAGCGGGGACAGCAGGAGAGAAGGCCCTCGGGCAGGAAGACCTCGGTGTGCTTGAGAACCCAAGAAGTCTGTAGGACCCTCGTGTCATGGCAAAAGGGTCCAGACTGAGAAGAGCCTGTGGGCCATGGTGATGATCTTGATTCTATTCTAAGAGTGATGGGAAGCAAGAGACTTTAACTTAGCGGCAAAGGGGTCTGATGTCCATTTTTTAGAGGATAACTGGGGTCGCTGTGTGAAGAATGGGAAGGAGGTGGCAGGAATGGAGGCAGGGAGACCAGAGGGGAAGCTGGTCCGGGCCTGCAGGCCAAGGTGATGGTGGCCTGGCCTAGGGTGACTCGAGACACATTTGGAAGCTACAACCCACATGACTCAGTGATGGACAGGATCGGGTTGAGGCGCAGAATGAATTATGGATCAACAATTCCCAGGTTTTCTCTAGAGCAGCTGTGTGGGTGGTAGCTCTACTTTCTGAGACGGGAAGAGCTGGGAAAGACTGACTTAGGATAGGAAGGGAATGGTGATGAATCAGGATTTCCTTTTGGATGTAAGTTTATCAGGACTTGAGTGTGAAGTTAAGAAGCACCCCAACAGGGATGGTCACCCCTCCTACTCGGGTTCCTCCCATCAACAGCTCGCTAGACACCCGGCATCTGCTTGCTTACCTCTAGTGACAGGGAGATCTCTCCCAAGAAGCAGCTCCATTCACCCTTACACGAAGCTAGGACTATGACAAAATATTTCCTGCTTCTGGGATATAACCTGGGATCTGTTTCCCAGAATTTTCCCAGGAAAACTGCAGGATGAGACTCGCCCCTCCTCCTAAGGACAGCCCTGCAGAGCTCTGGAGCAGGAACCTCTCCAAGTCTTCACAGCATTCCCTGAGCCCCTGCCCTGAACCACATCAAGAGTTGGGTGCTGAGGCCACAGAGATAGGTCAGACAGGACCCCTACCCTCGAGAAGTATCTGGTCAGGTCACAGGGGAAGAAGGTAAATAACCAACCAATGACAAGCAGGATGACAGGTGGCGGAGGGCAGCGCAGAGGCCACAGGAACTTGTCCTCTTAGCTCTGGTACCTTCTAACTGTGCTCTGCCTTCATCACCCCACCCGCACACAGCACTGTGTGGGCCTAAAAACACTTTCGGCTGTGTGTGCTCCTTTCCCTCCACATCCCAACCATGGGAGGCTGGTATTATTGTCTTCACTTTCCAGAAGAGAAAACAGAGACTCAGAAAGGTTTTGTGACTTGTTCAAGGTCACACGGCCTGTCAGTGGCTAAGGAGGGAGGGTGAGGAGACCTGTCTGACTTTGGGTCTAGAACTCTTTCATGCCTCCAATGCCGGGGGCTCCATCACTCAGGCAACTCCTCTCTCTCTCCTTCTCTCTCTCTCTCTCGTCTTTCTCACCCTTACACCCTCTCTGACCTAGAACAGGTAGACACCCAGACTAGAATTGATGTCAGGAAAACTGGGAGGTGGGCTCCTCTTTTCCCCCTGACCTCTCCTGAGCCCCTCACCCTTAGGTCACTTCCTCCTCTGATCCCCAAGCTCCCACCAATTCCCTTTACCCCCAAGAGCTACATCGAAGAAAAGATGAAAACCAGCACCAGTCTGGCAGGAAAGCAGCTCAGTCACATCCTTTGAGCCTCAGTCTCCCTTCAGGAAGACACAGAGGCTGTATTTGGTCATTCCTGGGAATCTCCATGCCTGCCCTGAGAGTCTCTCTGGGCAGGAATCAGGACTCACCTGTGAATCCCAGCAGAAGGGTAGGCAGGAGGGAGCCCAGGGCCCACCCAGGTGTAGTGGCCATGGTGAGAGATTCACTCACAGCGCTCCTCGTCTGTTCCTGGACAACCACTGGATACGGCCCTGAAAGAGCCCGGGAGCCACTGGCCAGCCTCTGGAGCCGGCCTTATACTTTCCAGCTGGTCAGCCCACCCCATTCCCTGCCGTGCCTGGAGCAAGGGTTTGAGCCACAGTGAGAGAAGTGGTCACTGTGGTCAAGGGCTCCTTCCAAGCCCCAAACCTTCAGGCCTGAGTTCTCCAGCCAGAGAGACATCTGGGGCCTTTGACTGAGTTCTGATTGTCTCTGGTTCCCCGTGAGCAAGACTGGGAAGTGGCTGAGCTCTGCCTGAAGCTTCAGGCCACAGAGCTGGCCTGTGATATGCTGAGTCTTGATGTCCCTTCGCCTGGAGGCTCCTCCATGCCGAACAAGCAGCATCAAGAGCCTGCCCTGTCCTTGGTCACTAGTGTAACCAAATCTTCAGTTGCCAGACACGGCTTCTGGGAATGCAGAATGGATCAGACATGGGCCCAGAGGGTTGAGAAGTGAGCCTTGACATACACAACTACGTGCAACCAAGAAAGAGCCTAGACTTTGAAACCCAACCCTTGCCTTAACTAGGCTTGCATGATGTCAGCGTGGATTTCCCATGGCCCAGAATTGTCTGCTAGGCTCCATGTTGGGGAAAGGTGAATTTGAAACGCAGCCACCGGTTTCTGTGAGCTCCCTGTGAAAACAGCCTCTCCCTTTTGTCTCTCTCCATCTCCTTACCCTGCTTTACTTGGCTTTCCAGTGGTTAGCCCTGATGAATACTGATTTGTTTTTATCCGTTTCCCTCATGAAAAGCGGTTTCCCCTGAAGACTACTGCCATTTGTTCATGGCTGTCAGCAGTAGCCACACAGTGCTGGGCACAGAATAGACACTCGATAACAACAAATGGACCTTTGGGGCCAGGTATGTTCTCAAGACTGATTACAAAGCAGCCGAGCCCAGCCTGCTCCCCAGCCATACCGTCTCTTTGGGGTCTATACACTCCGCTGGCATGGAGGGAGAGGATCGAGAGGAGTTGTCAGCCTGGGGGAGACTGTGATGGAAACTCCCCCTGACCTCACAACCCCCACCGCCACCCAGCCAAGCAAGGCACTGCAAAGTGACTCCTAGAGACTGGGCGCCTGCTGGAGGAGGAGGCTGGCTCCTTTTCCGGTGTCTGCTGAAGCAACAGTGGATTCACTAATCCACTTTGATGTTGCTCTGAGCCAGAGGAAAAAGAGTTGAAAAGAGATGGCAGGGCAGAGTGACAGGGTGGCAGGGCAGCAGCTCAAGCTTCCTCCATACAGAGTGGCAAGGGGGTGAGGTTCATGGGGAGACCCCCATTGAAGGGGGAGCCAAGCTCAGAGCATCCCACTCAAGAGAAATGACGATTGGCATGAGGGCCTAGGAGGAAGAGCCTGCAGCATGGACTCCGGGGGGGAAGCTATGAACCTGGATCAGACTGTGCATAAGAGAGAACGTGCAGCGGACTAGGTATCCCCACTGCATGCACACACATGGGCACACACGCATTGCACACACACGGGCACACACGCATTGCACACACACGGGCACACACGCATTGCACACACACGGGCACACACGCATTGCACACACATGGGCACACACGCATTGCACACACACGGGCACACATGCATTGCACACACACACACACGCACATGCATGCACACACACGGGCACACACGCATTGCACACACACGGGCACACACGCATTGCACACACACGGGCACACACGCATTGCACACACGGGCACACACGCATTGCACACACATGGGCACACACGCATTGCACACACATGGGCACACACGCATTGCACACACACGGGCACACACGCATTGCACACACACGGGCACACACGCATTGCACACACATGGGCACACACGCATTGCACACACACGGGCACACACGCATTGCACACACACACACGCACATGCACGCACACACACGGGCACACACGCATTGCACACACATGGGCACACACGCATTGCACACACACGGGCACACACGCATTGCACACACATGGGCACACACGCATTGCACACACACGGGCACACACGCATTGCACACACACACACACGCACATGCATGCACACAGTCAGGATCCTCCTAGGAATCCACACCTGTGCCCTGCAAGGAAGCTGGCTTCCAGATTCCAGCCATAGTGAACAGAGGATTGTTGGGTAAAAGAGGTCCGTCTTTTTCCATCTCCCCTCCTAGGCCCTAACACATCAGATGATACACAGACCCAATTCAGGGAAAGGAGGAAGAACGAAAAAAAATGCCTCACCTCCATCCCTTCCTGATCCCTCAGCAGGGAGTTGGGGGCAGCACCCGGCTGGGGCGAGGGGAGGAGGTGGATTCTGAACTAGACATAATGTTGGCATTTTCGACCAGACTAGTTTGGACCTAGCCCTAACAGGGCCTGACATAGAATAGTTTTTCTATAAAGTTTGATGTAAATATTCATCTAGCCTCAGTTCCTTGGTGACACGAGCCACATTTCAGGTGCTCAATTGTCACATGCAGCTACTGGCTACCACAGTGGACAGTGAGGTCTTAGGTGAAACATTCCTTCATCAGGGAAGTCTTTCCTACCGTAATGTCTCCTCGTGGGTTCAAATACTTCTCCTGCAGAGCATTCATCACAGTTATAATTAAATTGTTAACTTGAAACTCTTGCATAATAAGCCTTTCCTTTGTTAGGCTGTAAGCTCTGGAGGACAGGGGCCATGTCCTCGGTCACGGGTGTAAATAAGTGCTGGCCGAATGCGGATGGATGGATGGAGCCATGGGTAAACAAACTCAGAAGAGGGTGTGTGCTGCAGGGTAAGGGAAGGAGGAAGCGCTCCCACTGAGAGAGCAGAGAAGCCTTCCTGGAGGAAGTGGGCTTCCTTCTGGGCTCCTGCATCTGCCCTTCAGCTTTGATCATACAATGTCCACGGAAGGAGAAGACTGGTGATACCAGGGCTAAGCTGCAGTGGGAGGGCAGCCGTGGGATTGGCCTGCCTGCCTTGTGAGGCTGGAAGGCTAAAGGGGAAGTGGGGAAGATGGGGTTTTATTGGCGAGACCAGCTCCCAATACATCGACATGGGTTTAAGATCTCTCAAAGTGATTGAGTGGTTGGTGAAAAAGAAAGAGCCTTTCTTAGGAAAAAGTGTTCCTTAAAGCTGGGCCCAGGGGAGACACCACATAATGCTGCTCCATGGATGTCTGACATTCCTCTGAAAATCTCAGTTTTTCATTATGCTCTTTCAATAGGGGAGGGGGAGTGAGGTTACCCAAAGTTTCAGCGATAATTATACAAAAAGAATACATTTGCAAAAACTAGTGCACAAAAATCACAACGTGGTATTATAAAAGCAGAACAATGTAAAGGTAACTTTCTGTGTGTCAGCATAGAAACCATACACCTTAGCAAGATTGTAGGTTAAACATAAACTTATGATCATCAACAAGAACATATTGGGCTCACAGCTACTGGGGGAACAGGATCTGACACAGGACAGCCAGGCTGACCAGAAAATCTGCAAGAGGAGGGGCCTCCACACAGGCCTGGAGGAGCAGTGGGGGAAGAAGGACTTTTACATCCTATCTCAACCACAGAGACCGACGCCCCTCATGCGTCCGTTCATAGGCTCTCCATAAGGGTCACGTTCCCTTTCCAGGGCCCTCATCAATATGCCTTTCCTGGGAAAGGAATCTGGCTAACGAGCCTCTCCATTACATGGCCATTTATAAGCTCTTTGCAACGAGAAGCCTGTTACGTGCTGTCATCTCTCTCCGGTAGCAAGTGATGCGGTTAGTCCCTTTCACAGAGTTCCTGTTTCTACCAGAACATTTCAGCAGAGCCAAAGTTACAAGTCGCAGCTTAGCATTTCACATTACCCTGCATTTTCTCAAATATAATCGATACAATAACAAGCATCACAAAGCAAATAACTCATTTTGGGGAAACCAAATTCTAAGAGAATTTATAGGTTAAATATCAACAACAATTTCTTCTTGTTATTTCAGATAGCTTGGGTTTTGCCAATTCTTCCAGAAGCTTGGGGTTGCTCAGTCACCACAGAGAGGTTCAGAGTATTTCCAGCAGGGTTTTCCAAGGGGTGGCCTGAAGAATGCCAAGGTACCCCCAGGGCTCGCCCAGGTGGGGCCGTGAGTCAACTGGGTAAGGCTCGACTTCCTCTGAGTAGAGTCACGTCTATCTTCTTCCTTATTCTACACCAGCAAGGACTGGCTCTCACCTACCCTATAAGTATAACCTTTTATATGAGTTGGGGCCCCAAGAGGCCTCATCATGAGTGTGGGCCCCTGTGCTGGCCTAACAGGCTGAGGGACCAGAGAGGACACAGAGCTGCTAGCTCTTCATAAAAGGAACATTGATGCCCCTTAAAATCCAATTCCTTGCTGCAAGGACCCATGGATCTTTTACCCTCACCCAGTCTTCTTAGACTCAGCCTCGACAAGCTGCACATGTCACTCTGAGCCTCCTGCAAACACAGGTCCAGGACTTCCCAAGACAACGATAAGCCTCCTTGAGGACAGGAACCCTTCATTGTCCACTTGCTCCATGTCTGAGACCTCAGTGCCTCACACAGCCCCTGACACTGACTAGCCCCTGAGCATGTGTGTGTTAAATAAATTTGTTTCATCGTTGACTTACTCATTCCTATAACAATTCTTTATAGAGTGCCAATTATGTAGCAGGCATCATTCAAGGCATGGAGCAAGTGAGCAGTGAGCAAGATAGTAAAAATAAAGGAATAAATATGCAGTATAATTCCAGGGAGGTTAACTGGTATGAAGAAAAATAAAGAAGGCAGGGGATAGAGAGTGGCGGGGTGTATTTTGGACCGTGTGCACAGGAAGCCTTCTCTGGGGAGGGGCCTGTGAGCTGAAACCTGAATGAAGGAAGTGGAAGTCATAGGAGTTCTAGGAGAAGAATGTTCCAGAGAGAGGAATGCACATGTAGGGCAGGCATGAGCTGGGCACCTGTGAGCCACAGTAAGGTCACTGTGGTGGCAGCAGAGAGAGAAGACAGATGGTCATGACAGAAACTGCAGGACCTGATCTTGGAGGCTGTGCTGATGAGGTTGGAGTGTAATCTGTGTGCAATGCCTTGGGCTGAGAGCAGTACTGGAGCAGGATCCAGGTCACAGATTGGAAACTCACACCCTGGTAGCTGTGTGCATGTGTGTACTGGAGGAGGAACAGGCTGGAGGGGGTGAGGGAGGAAGCAGGGGAGAAGAGGAAGCAAGAGGCCACTGCAATTGGGAATGGCTGGACACAGGACTCTGGAGCTGGGGGAGAGATAGGTGATGGAGATGGGGGATAGAAATTTGCAAGCTGTCAGCATGTGGATGGTTTTTATATGGACATTGCATAGGATGAGACCACCTCATGGGGGAGAGCAAGAGGGGGAAGGAGCAAGAGAGGGATGGTTTTTATATGACATTGCATAGGATGAGACCACCTCATGGGGGAGAGCAAGAGGGGGAAGGAGCAAGAGAGGGATGGTTTTTATATGACATTGCATAGGATGAGACCACCTCATGGGGGAGAGCAAGAAGGGAAAGGAGGGCCCCAGGGCTGCGATTCTGATCTGGCTTTGCCACCAATTTGCTGGGTGAGCTTGAGCTTCTCTCTGGGCTTTGGATTCTACACTGGGCATGGAGGGAACTGAGCCAGGTGATCTCTAAGGATCCTTCTTCCTTGAGTATTCACAGGCCTGGTTTCATTTCCTGTACCCTGGAGCTTCAACCCGGGCCAAAACTCCACTCATCCCACTGCTGAGCCTGCTGGCTGTCCGACCCCTCCATTGCACAGGGCCCCACTCTCAGAGGGATCCACACTTGATTAACTGCTTTGCTGTTACTGTTCTGAAACATTTAGTTATGCTGGGACATGTTCTGCTGATTATGTGGCCAGTGCTGCCACGTGCCCTTGATCTTCTGCTGTGAGGTGAGGCAGTAGCACGACATGGCTGGTGGGAGGTCCCCCAGGTTGTTGGGTACCAGGACCGAGGGCCCTTGCTGGGACCCTCTGAGGACTCCCAGTCCCTGCTATCACCAACACCACCCTCCCAATGCCTCCCCAGACTCTGCAATCCCAGAAAGACAACATTGGCATTCCTGAACTTCCTTTTCCTCTTTCTTTCAGAAGCTGAACAAATAGTCAAGGGTAAATGCCAAAGCCATGGAATTCTGATAGACCAGGATTTCCAAAGATATGAGCCATGGACTGACATGATCACAGCCCACTCCAGATGCAGAATCCTACAGAGGGCCTAAAATCTGCAGTTAAACAAACCAAACAAAACGGCATTCTGACCGAGTTAAAACTTGAGAACTACTGACTTAAGCTAGGGACCCAGCTGACTTCAGGAAGATGACTTGATGAGGGCATCAATGATGCCTGGATTGGGGGTTGGGGAGGAGGCAAGCCAGGGAGAGATTAACTACTCAGCCATAGGCTCCTTGCCCTTCAGGTCTCAGCTCAAATGTCTGCCCCCAGGAAGCCTTCCCTGAGTCCAGCACACAATGAGCTGAGACCCTGCTCCAAGCTCCC